GGGGTTCTTCATCATCATAAAAAAAAAAAAAAAACAAAACCCACAGAAAACAAAAAGAAAAAAAGGAAATTTTTTGCCACTGGGTTACATCGCCTGGGTTCGGTGGAACCCCCAGCGCTTGGGTTCCAGGGAACCCAGGCACGGGTTCCATCGAACCCAATGCTTGGGTTGGATGGAACCCCAGCACTGGGTTCGGTGGAACCCAGTGCCTGGGTTCCGGCATAGGTTCCATGGAGGCTTCTCTCAGCAAAGTATTCTGTTGGGTTCCAAGGAAGAGAGAAAGGAAAGGAGAAGGAAAAACAAAAAAAAAAAAAAATGAATTTTTTTATATTATTATTATTCTTTATGTTATTATCATAAAATTTGAGCTGGACTTGCCAACATGTAAAAGAATTCTAAGTTGGCATTGACACATCAAGGTATAACGGAGATTAACATGCACGTGTCGCACGTGATCTTCTACCGTTAAATTTTGCCTTATTTTCCTAAACTCGAAAATATGAACGATAAAAAATTACATATTATAATATGAGGGGTAAAACGCCTCAATTTCAAAAAGTTAAAGGGCAAACAGATACCTTTTGCCAAGAAATATGTTACTGAAACAAAATTAGTGATGTGTTGTACCTTATTAAAATTTTTTGGCTAGCAAAAAATTTAGTAATGCCAAACATGTTGCTAATTTCATAAATTGCTGACATGACTCACATTGCTATTTTACATTAAGTGGCCGCTCCACCTAACTTTCAATTGCTAAACCATCATTATGACATGCATCTATTTATATATGGCCCTTTCTTGCTTTCTAATCTTTGCTATTCATCCCTTACTCTCTCAATTCAATTCGTATCTTTTCACCCCCTCACATAATTATTTTCTTTATTTTTAGTTATAAGCAATTACTTTTGTAAATTATTAAACTCTTTTTTTCTATTGCTTTATTAACAAATATTTTTCTAATCTATCTATAACAACCTTCTACTTTTGCATAGACATTTAGCTATTGTGTGTCCGCAATGATATGCATGCTGCTGAAGTATCAATAAACAATGCTTTCAATGTTGATGAATGGCAAAACTTTTCATAATTGAACCAAAAATCTATTTTTCAGTTCTAGTAATATAATTCACATCAATGAGCTCTAACTTTTTTAAATTTAAATATTTATTAGCATCATGGAATACGTTGGAGTTTGGGGGGCTTTAGGTAGGCTACCCCACTAGATAGCATGAGAATATGCATTCCTGAATGAAAATTTTGCCAAAAGTGTAGTTTAAATAACATTCAACAATATCATATGTGATGCTAAATGCTCTATGTATAACAAAAAATTGTAGGGCACTCTTCATTTCTTTCCTTTCTTCTCCCTTCTTATACAATTCTCTCCATTTCTCCTCCCCTTCTCTGCACTGTTACACTGTCTTCTCCTCCATTTCTCATCCACTTTCCTCCATTTTCCTCCATTTTCCTTCTTTATTTTCCATTTCTCATCCAGTTTCCTCCATTGTCCACCAAGTATCCTCCATTTCTCCTCCCTTCTCATCAAATTCTCATCCATATGTTATTAATTCAATTTGTATCAATTTATCAACCCCTTGATTCTCTTCAATCATATGTTATGATTTTATTTTATTTTATATTTTTGTGAATATCAAGTGTTTAAGTTGGTTTCAATTTATTTTCAAGTTTATGAAATTATAAATAACTATATATAGTAATTAACATTTTCATTATTTTATTTGTTTTGTAAGTAATTTTCATTAAAGTTGAAAATTAAAGTATGGTAAGATCTTTAAACCCACATTAATTGGCTTAAGTTCTTTAATTTAAGTGTATTTAGTTAAAAATGTATAGATGATCAGCATAGATATTAATTATTCAAGGAAAATGATTATTCAATTGTATAATTTATTTTTTAGGTAAATTTTATTATATTTTATGTGAGCTATCATTGAATATGGTATATGGTAATTGTAATTATAAAAATAAAATGAAGTTTATATTTAAATTATACATTTTTTTTATTGAAACTAATAAATAATTATTCATGATTTTGTAGGAAAATAAATATTTTGTCGTATTACTTTCGAAATGATTGCTTAAAGATATATATATATATATATATATATATTAATTTGTATCATGTTATGCTTTTGATTTTGGACAAATGTGGTAGTACAATTATAGTTATGCAATTTTATACTTTTATAGCATTAATGTTCATTTTAGTAATAATGACATGAAATTATTTGAGATGTATGGAATGAATGTAGACAATTTTTTCAAATGTTAGCCGAATGGAGGTTAGTGGTGATGGAATGATTTTAATAGAATAAATGTTGATGGAATTAGGAATTTATTGAATTGTTGCTTAGGGAATAAGTGTATAGAATATAGGGAGAAAGAATTTATGAAATCTAATTTTTTTCTTGGAAGGTAACATTATATGCCACGTCAGTGAATGTAGACATTCATTGATGTGGCATATGTTACTATATAGGGTGCATATTTTTGGTGAGTTACTTTGGTGAGTATAAATTAACATGCTTATACTTGTTGGTGATGTTTTACCGAGCAAGGCATCTCCAACAAAGCAATCATCGATATGATCCACATCATTGCATTTTTTTTAGCAAAATATTTAAGACTTTTGTTGGCGTACTTTCATGTTGCTAAAACCCTGCATTTTAGTAGTGTTTAGAATACGTATGGTGGAATTTAAAAAGGGAAGGGTCATCTTTTATTATATAATTCATAATAAAATATATTAAAAATTACAATAAAACTTTTTTTTTTAATTACATAATGGAATATAACCCTTGTATCTTATTTTATTTTATTTACATACCATATGATACAAATTTAAACTTTTTACTTGAAACAAAGGAGATTACTGTTGACATATTTAGGTAATACAATTAAACTTAAATGTTGCTGATAAACTAGCATCGATGAAAAATCAGCTACATGTTAATTGCTAGTTGGGCTTTAATTTGAGTGACCCAAGCACTCCTTGTAAGAGAGGTGTTCGAATATAACTTCATAAAAAATGTCATGGTAAAAAATCTTGTAGGATGGCCGTGATCGTCGTGAGTAATTTTGGTAAATCACAAAGTGTACTGCTCTGCAACTCTCACGGGTTCTCTCTGTAACCTTCCCGGCTTTCGTCTCTGGCACAGTCGGGCTTTCCCCTTCGTTTTCTGGCCAAGTTATTCCCTTTCTTTGTTCTCCTCTTCCGGATCCCCATAACCCTCATTTGTTTTAGTTAATTACCTTCTTTTCTCTCTTTGATTTCCTTTTTATCTGCTTCTCCTTTGTTTCCTTCTCCTCTGTTTTCTTTTCCTTTTGGTAGAAACAGCATTTCGCATGGTTTCCTTTCCTTGCGAGATTCTGTAACAAAAATACCTTTGGCATGATCCCTTTGCCAACACCACGAGCATCTTGCCGGCTTTCTAGTTCATCACTTTTTGTTTTTCCTCTTCTGTACTCTGATATTCACAACTAACAACTTCACCATTATTTCGAGTGGAACTGATTCCCCAAGCAATTTCTAGGTTGTTCTTCTGCCAAATATTCGTTCATCGACAACGATCAAACGATCCTTTTTAACTTCGCATTCATAACAATACCTCAATACTAATTTTTAACAAATCCTTAATCTTTGTTTATGTCATTAAATACTCATAAGCATGTTTTGGACCAAATAAATGTCCACCACACTAATTTTTCGCACTTGTGGGATATACATGAATAGAATGCTATTTTGCTATCTGTCCTAGTCCCCTGCATAGGCTGCTAAAAGTTTAACCACTTATGGAGGGGGTGGCCCTAACTCCATCAACGAAAAGGTAAATTGCACATTATTTTTCTTATACATGAAAATAAAAATCAATTAGTACTTTAAAAATGTTTAGACTGCACTAAATTAATCTTTAAATGGGGTGAGTATTGATAATAAAAGTTATTTCTTATTTAAAAATCTTTTTTTACGTTATTGTAAAAAATTGGCTCATGGTATTTTCTAGATTTAAAAGCAACAAAACAAGACCATAAAGCGAGAAAACGACTTGACAATTCAAACCCATTTTTAATTGCTGTAAACCATTTTGTGAGGATGTAAATATGTTATTGAGATCTTAATATTTCGGTCACATATGACCATTAAAACAGAACGTTGGCCCTCTGCTTTCCCCCTGAAGTCCTGAACTACTCTTCTGCTACCCAAAACCAACATAATGGAAACAACCGAATCTCTGTGGCGAAGACGCCTAGGACCGGCCTTACGCATGGTGCTGGCATGCAGTATAGTAGGCTGCACAACCCTCTATGGGCCTAAGTCTGTCCGGGATTTACTAGAATTCTCCGCCTTTTCCTACGTAACAACTGTCCTGATAGTGTCTGATGCCACGCTTGGTGATGCCCTGAGAGGTTGCTGGAATGTCCTGTACGCCAGCATTCAAGTGATGCTCCCTTCCGTGTTGATTCTCAGGGGGATTGGACCGGCCAGGTTAACCGCCGAACTAGCTGCACTGGCTGTGGCTGTTACTGCATTCATGGTGGCTTTGCCCAATTCCACATCACTCATGGCTAAGCGGATCGCCTTCGGACAGGCTGTAATTGTGTATGTAGGCGCCGTTATTCATGGTGCACAAACCGGAACAGTGATGCACCCAGTTCATGTGGTTTCGAGCACTGCTCTTGGCGCCATGGCCTCAGTTGTAGCCATGCTGCTTCCATACCCTCATCTAGCCTTCCTTGAGGTAAATTGCTAAATCTGATACCATACTCAAATGTTCTGCCTTTAGCTTCTTCTTCTTCTTCTAAGGAAAGAACCTTCGCCTAATTTAGCCTCAACTCAAATAGTAAAGTGCATGTTTCGTATTCATAAGGGATAGGATTGAATCCCCACCTCACAAATATATAACAAGAAGAAGGGAAAAAACATGTGAGCTAATTTAAGACGGCTAAGCTTTTGTAGTTTAGTTCAATTTAGAATGGGATGTGCAATATTAAATTTAGATTAAATAGGTCTTCGAGATTGACAGACAAATTGTTTTTGTTCAGCCGGATGCAAGTACACAACAAACACAAAAACTTTGGAACTCAACTTTCATTGATCAAGAAGTATTATTAATCTATCAAATTGATTAATGCCAACTTTTATTACACTTGAAACCGCCATTCTGTCCGGACCATTAATTTCTTGGCCACCATAGTCATTTTGATTGCTTTTGTTTGTGCTATAGAACAGAACAAGAATTAATGAACCATAATTTTCCTAATCCTTCGCTCCAATGGCTTCTACTGGTGAGGGCATTGATGCTGGAACTTGATGCTCAAAGTTGTAAAGATTTAAATTCTATTCTAACTACCCAACTGGCTGCACCTAGTTGTGCAATTACCAGAGTTGTCGAAACTACGAATCGGTCGGATCCAGATATCTAAATAGAATTGTACCTTACTAAATTCTACCCTGAAGATTCCTATTTAGAGCATCAATTTCTATTCGTTTTCCACAAACAAATGTAGAAAAGTGATTCAGTGAAGTGATATTATATTAATGAATGCTTATGTTCGAGTATATGGAAGTCTTACCACCAATGATTGATATGCCTGCTGCGTACAGGCGAGGAGAGCGTGCAGAATCTATGCTGAAAATGCTTCACGGAGACTGAATTTCTTAGTGGAAGCCTTCTCTGCAAAGGACAACAGGGCTGCATTTGATTTTCTTACAGAAGCAAAAGCCTTGGCTAAAACAGGTGCTAAACATGTTCAGAGCATCAGAGATAAACAGGTGGGCTAAAAGGCATGTCTACTAATCCTACTAATCTGATTTGTGCTTTTGTGAGCTAATTCATAAGATATTTTCTTTCTAACAGGAAGGAATGATGTGGGAGAGACCTCGTCTCAGGTTCAGGAAACCTAACTGCGTGGACCCTGGAGAGAAACTGCAAGACATGGAAATACTAATTAGAGGGATGGAACTTGCCTTGACTTCCTGCACTTCCTTCCCTGTTGACATGATTGATGAAATGCTGAGAGATTTTCTGCAGAATGCAAAAGTGCAGATAGGGTTAAAGCTTGAACAGGCTAAGTGCTCAGCTCCATTTGATGCAACAACAGCTCCAGAAACTAAGGAAGAACATACCAAGAAACCTCTGTTTAGTCACAGAACTATCTCCACAACCCAAGAACTACCTGCTTGCTTCTTCCTCAATTGCATGGAACTCCTCCAGTATAGCTCAGCCATTGCTGGAAGCATCAAGTGCCCTGTAGAGAAGGAAGACAAAGCTAAAACCAAAGAATCAAGTGACATGGACAAAGGGAAAAGTTGCTTCAAATTTATTCAGGGGAGTCTGCTCACTATCTTGACACAGCTGAGAAGTGAAAGATTGGTTTTTGCATTCAAGTGCTCAATTTCTCTAGGTCTCGCTGTGCTATTGGGTCTGATTTATACCAAAAAGAATGGATACTGGTCAGGACTAACAGTTGCCATTAGTTTTGCTGCAGGCAGACAAGCAACATTCACAGTTGCGAATGCCCGAGCACAGGGGACGGCAATGGGATCAATATATGGAATTATCTGTTCCTTTATTTTCCATAAGTTTGTGGATTTGAGGTTCTTACCTCTGCTGCCTTGGATCATTTTCTCCAGTTTTCTAAGGCACAGCCGGATGTATGGTCAAGTTGGTGGGATTTCAGCTGTCATAGGGGCATTACTAATCTTGGGTAGGACAAATTATGGCACTCCAACTGAATTTGGAATTGATAGAATAACAGAGGCTACCATTGGAATACTGTGTCTCATCATGGTGGAGCTCCTCTTGCAGCGAGTGAGAGCAGCCACCCTCGCAAAAACAGAGCTTTCGCGGTGTCTTGGGCTGCTTCAAAATTGCATTGAAGGAATAGTACTTTGTACTGGTGACAAGGACACGTCAAATTTAGTTTCAAGAAGGTTGATACAAAATCAGAAGATTCTGGAATTACATGTTTGTGAAATGGAGAATTTTGTGGCAGAAGCAGAACTAGAGCCTAATTTCTGGTTCAAGCCTTTTCATAGTAGCTGCTACCACAAACTTCTAGGATCTTTATCAAAGATGGCGGATATATTACTCTTGTTAGCCTACCAAATTGAATTCCTCTCACAGGAATCACCCAGGATTGGAGATGCGCGGAAGGAGCTTGAACAACAGATCAACAATGATATAGAGTTTTTTGTCAAAAAAGTTGTCACTTGGTTAAAATGCCTTGACGGGGTGTTAGAGATCAAATCCCAAGCCAGCCTTGAAAAAGGGATGCAAAGTAGGACCATTTCCCTTGACATTGAGTCTGGAAAGCCAGCAAATGCACAGGCTTGTACAAACATGGGGCTAGGAGACGAAGATGTCGAGAAGATCGCAGGTTCTTTTCTTCAACATTCAACGGAAGTAACCAACATAATTCTGTGTAACGAAGGTAAGGAGATGCTTAAGAGTCAAATGGTTCTGTTTTTGAGTGGCCTAGGGTTCTGCATCAGCACAATGATGCGAGAAACAATTGAGATGGAGAGAGAAATAAAAGAACTGGTGAAATGGGAGAATCCAGGAAGGCACATAAACTTCCATGAAATTATGGGTAAGCCCACGAACATCCATCCAAGGTAAATTCAGCACTATTACCTTCTAGTGACACAAAAGAAGAGGTTTCTTTATTGAACTCCCATTACCACCTCCTCAAAGAAAATTGTAAATAGTCATAGTAAAATGAGTTGAGATAAAAAGAGAGCTAGAATATCACTCATTCTTCCTTCTAATACCTAGATAACAGAGTGAGGCAGTATCGAGTGAACAAAAAGTGTAATAGGGTTCCCCAACTTACAATTTGTACAGATTTGATCATTATGACGTACGAGGCCAAAAAAATATATCAGGAATGACTATGAGTTAACACAACAAAATCTCGCTCCAAAACTCCAGGAAAATTAATAGATATTCTCGAAAACTAATTTTACACCACCAAACATCATATTACTGATTACAGTACCTCCAACAACACAAACAGCTTCTCCAAACTATTAACTCAATTACATTGAAGACTCCATGCAATGACCTAGGGAAGTCCAAGTTCATTAAGCATGATTGGAGGTTGAGGAATTGGAGAAGCTGTATGTGTGAAGAAGGTGTATGATAGCTGTAATATAATATTGATGGCTGTAAGTTTTGAAGATTATGAACTACAAGTTTTCTAGATTGGCAAAAAAACAGAGTCTATGTAAATAACATCGGCGTGTCCACTTAAAAATGTAAAAATAAGCCATGAAAGTTTCAATTGCCTTCATATTTTGGGTCAGCCATCACATAATGATATGCTATAACCAGCACAAAGATGAAGATCCCAAGAAAATTTGCAAAAAAGCCCAGGTCTTGATCGTCAATCATCTGTTACATTTTATACATAAAGAACAAAATATATCAGAACTGTGGTTATTAGAATCGGTATATAAAATGATGCTTAACTCATAGGAAACAAAGTAAATCAAGTGCATTTGCAAAGATTCATCCATGCCCATATACACAAACCCAAAAAAAGGGGGAGAAAAAAAAGAGAGGATCTTTGATTGGATATTCTGTATGGAGACCAATTCCTACAAGGAAACAAAGAAGATGTTGTCGAAAACCAAATAATAATAATAGTAATCATATAATATACATCCTCAGGAGTCATGATCTAACATTACACTACATGATGTAAGTAGAAAAAGAGGTAGAATTTATTGGGGTTCACTGGAATGTTAAGGCCCCTTATTCATCAAAAAATCATGATACTAAATGGGAAAGCGATGCAAAACCAGTCATAGTCTCACAAAACAGAACTGCTTATTTTTTGCCCTTACAAAACAGAACCGCCGGAACCCTTGAGTTTAGCTAATTTTTGACAAACTCACCATCAATTCCTCAAGTAAACAGCACCAAACAACTCGTTATGCCAACCAAATTCATCAAATAAAAATGACTACAACACTAATTCCAATAGGTCTATGACCACAACTTCGTCAAATCCCATTAAAAAAAAAAAAAAATCCCAAACACACAAGTTTAAAACTTCCAGGAAAAAAAAGGGTAGCAGGGTAAACAAAGTATTAAACTTG